CCCCAATATTTGATGACATTTCCGCATCTGATCAAACACTGACTAAAATATTTACATCACATTTACATTCTAGCTAGGTAGGAACATGCGATTGTTTCCAAAGTTTCTCCTATCGTTCAGCCTGTTAGCTTTGGTGTTTCTGCTCATTCACTATCTGACCAAAAGCCCCACAATCCAAAGCAACCTGGCACTCATCAGTACCAACCACCTGTTGAATATCCCGTTTCGTTACTGGATAAACAACGAAAAAGTGTGCATTGAAGGTGGGATTCTGGGTGTTTTTATCGTAACTTCGTACTTTGGCAATGTGGAAACCCGCAGCTCAATGAGGAGGGCGTTTGGGGGTGATGCCCTAAAAAAGCTGGGCCTGCGGCGAGTTTTCCTGCTGGGGCATGCCCCAGGCGACAAATACACCACGCAACATGCGCTGGAAGAGGAAAACCGACGATTTGGGGACATTGTGCAGGGCACCTTCATGGAAGCCTACCGCAATTTGACCTACAAGCATGTAATGGGTCTGAAATGGGCAGGCACTTATTGCCCAAATGCCCAGTTTGTGATCAAAATGGATGACGACACTGTCTTGAATATGTACAGGCTGAATCTACTGCTCGCCTCTCTAAAAGCTTTTGCTGAGAAAAGCTTCATTGCTGGCTATAAATTGGACAAAATGAAGCCGATCAGGGACACGCAGAACAAATGGTACGTTACCCAAGAGGAGTATGCCGCCAAAATCTACCCCCAATTCGTCTCGGGGTGGTTTTACATCACAACTCCTCAAGTTTCCGGTAGATTGGCCAGTCGGGCCAATCAAGAGAAGTTCTTTTGGATAGACGACGTCTTCATTACAGGCCTACTAGCAAAGAAGCTCAAAGTGAAACTCTTTGATATCAGCCAGTACTTTGCGGTGAACTCCGAGTACCTACAATGCTGCCTTCAGGACTTCAAGCGGCAACTTGATTGCGATTTTTACGTGGGGCCCAACGGGGGCTACATCGACATGTTCTACCAGTTTAATCACAATTATTTTACTCACTGCGTGGAACACAAATGCAAGAGAAAGCACAGCCTTCCAAATGAATCTTGTGTGGCCGAGAAAAAGATTAATTTGGGGAGAGGAGCGCCCCTTATCGAGACCTACCACCTCTAGACAACTCCCCATGTAACATGACTGTGATATTTTGAGAATTTAATTTTTTTTGTATTAGTGGCCTATTTTTATAATTACTGTTATTAATTATACAGAGCTTTTACTGAAAAATATGCATGTTTTCTGAAATGTCCCTAATTATATCGTATTTATTAATTTTTAATGTTTTTAACAGGCAACATTTTAACAAAAATTATTGCGCAAGGATTGAGCGCGCACAAATGCTACCTTCGTGTGAAAAAGACTTTCGAATTATGCTAATGTAAACATATAATTAGAGATCGAGAAATAATTCAATTTAATCGATATTCCATCAAATAATTTTATTATTTATTAATGCTCAAATATTCGCAAATCCAACGCATGAATGTTTCAAAATATTTGAAAAAAATAAGTTCGAAGGACCAGTAAAATCCTGCAGATTTTTCAACCGAATAAAATTATTCCCCAGCAGGAAAAGTTTTCTTCTAAAGATGCATTTTGGGCCCTAAACTCCCCAATCGCTGTACTCGGATTAAATTCGTTGACAGCTGTCAACTTTGACAGTCCCCTAGTCAGCTGTCACTTGTCACTTGACAGTCGGTAACACTCGAATAATTTTGACAGTCAACTTGTCATTAATCCTGCAGACTCTTAAACCGATTAAAGTTTTTGAATAGCACATTTTTACAGAAAATTGAGCTCGTTCTAACGCGGTTTTTATATTTTGTAGCTGGCCATTTATTTCGTGCGGATCTCGATTTCTAGAGAAAATCGTGCGCTTTTCAGTACAGTTTTTACTTTTAAAATCCGACTGGTATTAAGAAAGTAACGCGCCTATTTTTCCCCACAGGAAAAGTGAATTTTTCCCACAAGCGTCTTTTTTTGGGGACTCAAGTTGCGTTAAAAATTTACACAGAGTGTGCATGTTAGAAAATATTCAATGCAGAGGCCTACAGAGCCTTTAATCCTGCAAGATCTAAACCGGTTTACCCTGCAAAAAAATAAGATTTTTCTACCTAGTTTTCTAAAAAAAAAATTTACGCCTAAAATTGCGTTCAAAATTGAGCTTCTTTCAATGCGATTTAAAGTTTTCAAATCGGGCTGGATTTAAGAGAGTTAAACATTAATTTTACACTGCAGGAATACCTGTAACGTTATTTTGAATCCCTCGTAGCTGGTAAGTTTTCCAGTAGATTTTAATTTTGAAAATGTTGACTTTGAGGGAAAATTCCTCACTTTCCAATGCAGTTTTATAATTTCAAGTTTCAAAAAATTTCGCGTCAGTATTACGGGAGTTACGCGCCAAATTTACCCTGCAGAAAAGTGAGTTTTTTGCAAAAATGTGTTTATAACTGTTAAATGCGCTGGGCTTTCATCTGACACATAAATATTTCAAAAACATTTGTTCAGCAGGATTTCACTGCTCCTTCAAACTTTAAACGCCTGCAGATTTGAAAGAAGGAAATTTGAAACTAGTGAGTTTCTAGAGAAAATTGCTCACTTGCTAATAAAATTAATTGTTTTAATGCTACTGTTTTTTTGCAAGTTAGGCGACAACCTTCCCCAGCAGGAAAAAATTGGATTTTTCGTTTAAAGATGCATTTTGGGTCCTCAAGCAGATTTTTGGGCCCCACGCATGCGTTGCTCGTCCAACCTGAGCACGAATGCGAAAACACACAGAACACAAAATTGATGACTTCCCTGGGGGGATTTTCTGAGATGACACTAAAATTCTCCGCGAACCTCGCATTGCGCGAGCGCGAAATTTAACCGTAGCCCGCCTCAGCTGACTGTCGAAAAATTGGCGCGCATTTTAAACCACTTTGTTACTGATAAGATGTATCACATGTATATGAAACTTGAAACCACCCCCACTAATTGCCCTCCAAAAACGGTTTAACGGTCCAACACTTCCTGCTCCCTGTTGCTAAGGCAGACTTTTGTCTTTGCTTCCATCGTATAGATGATTTTAAAGTGACCGAATTGAAAATGTCTTCAAATTGTTCGCTACTGTGTTTTTATCACATAGTTATTGCTTGCTATCAACGATATAAACTGTAATATATTATAACAATAGTATAGTTAGCTCATATATAAAAAAGAGTAGATAGTAGCCGTATTTTTTAATAAGTTTGTGCACGTTGCATGGTGTTATCCAGAGTCGTTTAAGTGCTTGGAATTTAATT